ATGTATCAAGTAGACATTGTCATCTTAGGATCAGGTAACTGATATAGATTGGAATTGGATTTTATAGTCAAAAGAAGTTAGTACTCAGATAATAAAAAAACAACAAAGGAGAATTTATGTCATTTTCATATTTAGGAAACTCGTAGCAAAGATTATACATGTACACTTAATTAATTTGTATAAATGCCCATCTATCGGTGGAACATAACAGACAAATCAATTAAAGAATGAAGTTAAGATCACTTAGTACAATGTAGTTAATAACTGAATAATATTTATTTATTTGTTGAATTTATTTGCTGCCCATCTCATAATAAATTGACTCTGGGCAGCTTCCAGAATTAAAGCATCAAAATCCTAACAAATAAATAACTTTGAAAGAATAAAAACACCTGTATGTCAGGTAGGAATCTACAAACTGCCTTTTGAGCCCTGGAGCAGAGAATAAGGCAAACACAACTACTACCACTCCATAATAATTGCTGTATAGAAAGAGAGATGTTACATGATTTTGTTAAGCAACTTCTGCTGTTCTGTTACTCTTCGGTATTTCATCAATTTCTTCTGTTTTTCAGTCGGCTCCTTAGATGTGGAAGGAAGAGCTATAGGTGGTAACTGAAGGTTCCATACATCTTCATCTTCATCAGGAGAGTTTGTTGATTTACTTGGAGCCGACATCTAAAATAAAAGCAAATATTTTTGACAGAGAGAAAAACAGTAAGATTATTAAAGTAATTTTCATAAAGATTAGATTACGCCAATATGATTTTTTTCAATGAAAAAATCATTTTAATGTAGATAAAGGTGTTAATTTACTGATTATGCAGAGATGGTTGGAAGTCAAAACTTAATATATCATATTTGGATTCCTGAATATGACCCTCATTTTAAGAAAGAACTTGTGATTATTTTTGTATGAAGGCATATATACATGTATAAAAAAAGTGTTTCTAATATTCCTCACTCTTGATATGGATCAAGATACAGAACCTAGAGTAGAACTACACGGACACATACACTTAGTTTTCAGTGGCTCCATTAGTAAATTGAAAGTATATACCCTGCAGTTCTTACAATTGCCATATAAGAAAAACTGAACTGTTGACTGAAATACACAAAAATGATGCAAAAATGTGAACTCCATTTTAGGGGAACTAAGAAAGGGACAGAAAATAAAAATATTGTGCTGTGGTATAAAATATGATTCATAGACAAATTCCTTACTTTCCTATTGCTCCGAAATAGTATTTTGCAAAATCAGTTTGAACACATGCATCAGGAACTTCGCTTTAAGAAACTTACTGATGTATCTAAACCAAGTAGCTGGATTGTTTTGCTGGTTCAACTTTACCAGCTAGGATAAAATATGTAAAGTCAAATCAGGAATCTATTAAATAAAAAATACAATACAGATTGTTCTTTCCCTTGATTGGATGAGAGGAGAAATTTTTCATCTACTTTGTGCAGCTTGCTGATATGCTCAATATTTGTAAGCTGCAGTATTATGCGAGAACAGGGCCAATCATTTAAAAAACATTTGTAAGGGAAGAATTAGAGAAATATATAAGAAAATAACCTAGCAGTTACTAATAATAGCAATATCTAATACATTCTGCAATGATACCTCTAACACCATAAACTAAGCATCATCCGCCTATTCCAGGTCCTTGTAAAGGACTCGATAGGTAGATAAAAATGCCAAATCCAGTCTGAATATCTGGCTGACTGTGCAACAAACCATTCAGATACCTATCTAGTCATTATGGTACCGATACCACGAATAGGGAATAACAATAAGAGAGGATTTTTGCGTCCATTTCCATTTCCAGCAATTGAGATATACAGTGTTTCTCAAAGTGTGAACCCTTGAGGTCCCTGAAGACCCTCTCAGATTCCACAAACTCAAAATCATTTGCCGGCTTATGTTGAAAAAAATAATTCAGTAATGAAATCCCATCAAGCAATTGTGAGAAGCATTAGTGGTTTTTTTTAATATGGTCAACGTAAATCACATACAAGCTAAATCTCATTTGAGGACCTCCATTTAAAAAATAGAACGGGGTCCTCAAAGGAAAGGGCTTAAGAAACACTGAGATACACAATCTATTTATACACATTTATATCCCGTCACAAACGGAATACAAGCTCTTCTCATTCCAGAGAAAAGGCTCCCCAAGGAAAAAAAATCACCATGAGTTCACAGAGCAAAACAGGTGTTTTTATTCTTATCCCTCCAAATTTGCAAGGCGAATATAGGTAAGTTCAGTTAATTTTTCAAGCACCTCCCCGAGAACAGCAGCATCTGCACAGGAAGGAAAAGTTGCCGTGAATTCAACAGCGGGTTGGTTTTGCAGAAAAAGCAAGGTAACTTCATTTGCAGCAACAGCTGCCTTGCCCTATCTCGGAAAATACAGTAAATCTTCAAGCAGGCAGCAAAAGGAATGCTAGCTAAACTCCTGGAGCCATAAAACGCTCCCTTGTTTGAAATATATCTCGCTCTCTCTCGGTCTGCAGCCACGTTTGGGAGGCATCCGGCCGAGGCCAGTCGTCTGCTACCTTCTGGGCCCCTCACCTCTCTCAGTGATGGTACTCCAAGTTAGGTGGGATCTGTTAGGGTTGGCCGAGAAAAGGGGACCGACGACGGCAAGAAGGCCCGGCGTCCAACTCCACCAGCTCCTGCACTGGATCATCAACAAGGCGTTGGTTGCTATGGGCACGAGGTAGAGCCCCACCCACCCCCCAGTCTGTTTGGCGGACGGTCCCGCCCTCCGCTTTAAATTCACTCGCCGCGCGAGGAGGGCTCGCGATGCCCGAGGCTTAGCTGGGGGAAGGAGGTTTCCTTGCTAAACGGGGAGGTGGAGGCACTCTTACGGGCGTTGACTTTGCTTAATTTCTCCAAAAGGGACGCATCGTTGGGCCAGTGCCAAATGCGCCTCTTTATCTTTGAATTCCTGCCTTTCCGGAGGGTGGTTGTAGCATCTTAAAGACGAACGCCGTGAGGAAAAGGTGTCCTAACCTCGGCTCAGAGACACTTGGCTGCCACTTAAGTTAGCAGCTGAACTCTAAAGAGGAGTGCTATGAGCATTTTGACCACCGTGGAAAATGTCAATTATATTGTCGTTAAAAATATGGGTGACACGAAATATCACTTCAACGAGATGACTCGGGTTTCTTTTTAAAATATTGAACCCATAAAATAGTGCTATTCAGATGATCCCTGTGTATTAAGAATATGTAAAAGCCAGTGTGCTGTGGTGGTTCAGATGTATTAAGACTAGGGCAACTCAAATTCAGCAGAATAGAGTAGAGTAGAGTAGAGTAGAGAGTAGAGTAGAGTAGAGTAGAGTAGAGTAGAGTAGAGTACAGTAGAATAGAATGGGATTGGGATGGGATAGAATAGAATAGAATAGAATAGAATAGAATAGAATAGAATAGAATAGAATAGAATAGAATAGAATAGAATAGAATAGAATAGAATCTGGAAGGGAGCTTCACTGCAACCAATGTTGGTCACCATACTACAAAAAAGATGTTGAGACCTTGGAAAAAGTTCAGAGAAGAGCAACTAAGATGATCCAAGGCCTGGAGACTAAAACATACAAAGAACAGCTGCATGACTTGGGTTTGGCTAATCTAAAGAAAAGAAAAAATAGGGGAGACATGATAGCAGTGTTCCAGTATTTGAGAGGCTGCCACAAAGAAGAGGGGGTCAAGTTATTCTTCAAAGCACCACAGAGCAGGACAAGAAGCAGGTTGGAAACTGATCAAAGAGAGAAGCAACATGGAATTAAGGAGAAAGTTCCTAACAGTGAGGACAATTAACCAGTGAAACAGCTTGCCTCCAGAAATCGTGGGTGTTCCATCACTGGAGGTTTTTAAGAAGAAACTGGACAATCACTTGTCTGAGATGGTATTGAGTGGGGGGGCTGGACTAGAAGACCTCCAAGGTCCCTTCCATCTCTATTCTATTTTGGTTTGATTAACTTTTTTCTTAATGTGTGCTGTTTGTACCTTCTGGTTTAAGTCTGACAATGTTCATCTAATATACTAAATCACAAAATGGTTTTTGTATTTGTAACAACAATATTGTGCAAACCCCCAAATTGGATTGAGTAATCATGGTTAAGCTATATTGTGCAAATACATATTACAATATAGAAACTATTATGTGATTAAACCAAATATAGATATTTTATTGCCAATAGAAATATAACTTGAATAAATGAGAATTTTTTTATCAGTCTTCTAAGAATGTTAACTATTTCTTTGCTCTCTAAATATGCAAATAAAATTACTTTATCAGTGCAAATATTTTTTCTATGACTTGTTTCCTAGAATATATTCATAAAATGCTGTTGATGTGTTTTTTATTTGTATTTTACTTTGTTTTGTTTTATTATACATTTCCTAATGTTTATTGTTCATGACCCAAGTATAGAAATATTAGATACAAATACTGAAACAAATGAAACAACTGGTTGGAATGAAAGCTACCTCATCTCTATTTTTGAAATTTAAATTTATCCATCTGAATCTCAACTAATTACATTGGCATCTTTGTATACAGTACATAAGGATTTTTTTTGTGAAATGCCTTGACATGAATGTAAGAGCTCTATCAGCACAGGTCAGAGGTATGTCCATTATTACCTACAATGAATCTCTGGAAAGCTCAGAAGCTGAATAGGAAGACAACAGCTGTCATCTATAGTTGAACTTCAATGACTGGCATTCTGAATTTGTTTCAGATGTAGAAGTTGAGCATAACAAATATAATGGATAAATCTGACTCTTGGCGAATACAGACTGAATAAATGATCAATTAGTATTAATTTATCATAGTTGCTCTATTCCATCATATCTGACAACTATTCAGTGCCCTTTGTACCCTTTGGGTCAAAAAAATTTGTCCACCATTATTTATGCAGATTAAAGGTGCACATTGTATAAAATGTGTATCTAATTTACATATGTGTGCAGATTCAGAAAATTGCAGCATTAAGAAAACTTTCATAGACAGGTCTTTAAAGTTATTTTTAATTTTTATCCCTCATTTTTATAGATAACTGAAGGCAGCAAACATACATAATACTCCATCCTATTTTCCCAACAACTCTGTGAGGTGGATTGGGCTGAGACTGGCCCAAAGACATCCAGCTGCGGCTTTCATGCCTAAAGTGAGACTAGAATTCCCAGTCTCCTGTTTTCTAACCTGGTTACTAGGACTCAAGTTAATTTAAAACTATTACTAGACTTAATTAATTTGCAGCAATATCTAAAGTAAACTAACTTTCCAAGTAAAATAGAGTTAATAATTTCTACTTCTACCAAATAATTAAAAAAGTAGTCCCTCTTCAGTTTCTTTGCCCCTAATTTTTTAATTTGCAGTAAATTGTTAAAAACATATGCTTAAGTGTTTTGCCACTGTTTAACATTAACAATAAAGAGCATTTCCATTGCCTCTTTATATTAGTTCTTTAGAGCTCCTGACAGGCATAACAGATTCAGATTTTATTGCATAAATAGATAACAGTAGAGTAGGCATGTTGCTTCTAAGCTTCAGTCAAGACAGCAGAGTTTTTGTATCTATCCATTGTTTTTGCACCTGGCCTTACTTAATAGTTTTATCCTCTATTAAAACACCAAATTCCCAAGCGCCAAACACTCATCCAGTTCTGGGATAGAGAAAAGAACAAATCCACAAGGCTCATTTGCTAGCACACGGCAAACCGCTGACGAAGAAAGACTATTTCCGGTCAGTGGTCTTTCATACTTTCAGGGCTACGCCTAAAGAGAATCTTCACCTTCGCCATCTTCCGGGTCCTTCATTCTCCTCCCCTGACTTTTGTCACTCTACCTAGTTTGAATCAGCCCTTAGGGGCGGGGCGCAATTTCCGGCAATCGCTCGTTTCCTTTCCCGGGTCGCGCTTCCTCCTTCCTATTCCCTGCCTGCGAGTTTTCTCATTGGCCCTCGCGGAGCTGGGCAGGGTAGTCCAAGTGGTTCTGTGCTGCGGGGCGAACGAGGAGACGAGCAAATGAATGGTGTCAGCCACGGGTTCTTGCGGCGTCTGCTCGGCACTTTGAAGGTCCTTCCCCTGTTCAGGCGTCAGAAAAAACAGCGGCTGAACTGGTGGTTGCCCACCATCACCGGGACGTTTCCCGCCATGGAGCGGGCTGTGGTGCGTTGCGTCCCGGCGGAGCCTAAGCTCAGCGTTTCTATCGTGCTGCAAGACGGTAAGACCCGGCATCTGCGCCGAGACCAAACGGAGCCTCTCGGCCAGGCGCTGGCTCGCATCGCCAACAACGTCAGCAAAGGCCAGGCCAAGAAGGCCAAGAAGAGCAAAAAGACGCAGGCCGAGGCAGACCCGGGGACGCCGGTGCCGTCTTCTGAGCTCCTCCCGGTTCGTCTTTTCTCCCAGGATGGGGAAGCCGTGGCCGAGGATGTGCCCAACGAGGAGGCCTGGAAGGACGGGGCGGTGCTGCAAATTGGCGAGACCAGCTACCGCGTGGAGCGCAATCCGCCCACTCTGACCGAGCTGCAGCTTCCGCGCTCGCTCATGGCTGGCTTCCCTGTGTGCCCCAAGCTCCGAGTCGAGTTCGGCTCTGCCCAGGACTGCCTCTTCCGTTGGTATCACGAGGAGAAGATCGACCCGGTTGAGACTGCGTCGACCGCCGCGAGCAACAGCTGGGTGGAAGCCCCAGCCGGCTCCGAGCGCGTCTTCATGCCGACCAACGAGCATATTGGGCGCCGCCTGAAGCTCGTGTGCATCCCGGGCAACGGCGAGCGGCGCTACGGGCTGCCCCGCGAGTTGGAAAGTGTAGGCCCCGTGGAGGCTGGCCCGGGTGCCTGCACTTTCGAGGCGCGGCATCTCTACACCAAGAAAGTCACGGTGCCCGGACTTATCCGCATGGTTTCCTATAATATCCTGGCCGACATCTACGCCAGGACTGAGCTCTCGCGGACCGTGCTTTATCCGTATTGTGCTCCTTACTCGCTGGAGCTCGACTACCGGCAAAACCTGCTCAAAAAAGAACTGGCCGGCTACAACGCCGACATTATTTGCCTACAGGAGGTAGACAAGTCGGTCTTTGTGGATAGCCTGGGGCCTGCGCTTGATGCCTTCGGCCTGGAGGGGCTATTTCGGATCAAAGAGAGACAGCACGAGGGCCTGGCCACTTTCTACCGAAGGGACAAATTCAGTCTCCTTAGTCAGCACGACATTGCCTTCAATCAGGCTCTGCTTGAAGATCCCTTGCACAGAGAATTGCGGGACAAGGTAGCTACCTGCCCGCAGGTTGAGGAAAGCCTGCTTAAGCGATCATCAGCTCTCCAGGTATGCCTTATTAGTTCCTTTGTCTAAGGGGAATGGTGGGATAACTAGAGGAAGATAAGAAAATGCATGGCCAGTTAAGTTAAATGGACTTTCATTAAGACATTCAAAGCCAAAACTATCTCAATTCCCCATCTTTTGGTATCTTAAAGCAGTTTAACTCTCTGAAAACAGAAAAAAAAAATGGGACAGAAGTTGGAAAAGATTATATTGAGTGCAAAAATCTGGCTGGGAGATGCAGAGAAAAACAGATCCAGACAGCATTCATCTGAGGTGCCTTTCCCAGAGGGGCAGCTGTACTGTGGCTTGAAATGTTGCTGACTGCTCCATTTGTAAATCTACCCCCTTCATGGTCATGCAATGGGGATGATGCAAGTAAGGATTGCAAGCAACTTCAAAAGCCATATGCTGCGTGCCTTCAGATATCATGTTATTCTTTTCAACCCAATCAAATGTTGGAAATCAATTATGTAAAGGGGCCTGGATTTTGTCCATCAGCAGGATAATTCCCTAAAAATAAAATAGAATGGGCCCAAATTTGGTGTGTGAAGAAAAGATTTTGTGTATGAAATGAATTGGAGCCAACCGGGTTTATGGAGAAAAAATATCCTAATATATTACTATGGAAGAAAAAGGTGGGCAGTAGTTTGGAATGTTGCAGAGTTCTCTACAGATAGTTTTTGACTTACAACTATTTGTTCAATGACTGTTTAAAAAGGGTGGCACTTATGGCCATTACAAAATGTCACATACTCATACACATGCACACACACTCTAATCATGTGATTATTATTTGGGTGCTTGACAACCTGTTCACACTTAGGACTGGTTGCCAAACGCCCCACAATGATGGCCATTTGCAGTCTTCTCTGTCAACTTTCTCAGAAAATCAAGAAGGCAGTAGAGAAGATTGCAAGCTGCTGTCCCCTACAGAGAGGACTCCTTTTGGTCTCTGGAACTGGCTGAAAGAACGTGCTGTCAGTGTCCACATAGAGCTGAACCCCTCAGGGAAGTAGTTCTGAGAGCAAAAAGGCTGACTGCTGGAGGATTTCAGCTCTATATGGAATTGAGTCTTTTGGAGAACATAGGGGCTGCCTGCCTGAGACTTTAAGCCCTGCACCAAACTGAATCCCTCCAATAAACAACTCTTTTTGCTCTTAAAAATATTCAGCTTCACATATTGTGGAAACCCTCTGGCAGATAACCGTTCTATTCACAATCAGGAGTGCCAAGAATGTGATTATTGAACAAAGCAAACATGACATCTCACTTAAAGACACCCCTTTCATCTTTATTACCAGACTTGTGTCTTACGACAAAACTATTTTTGAGAGGTTGGAAAGAATTCCAACCACTATGCTCTTTATCATTTCCCTAACTTAGATACTATATACAGTATTGTGAGGTATCAGAATTCATGAACATTTTTCTTACAGGTTTCTGTCCTTCAGTCTCAAAATGATTCTTCGAGAAAGATTTGTGTAGCCAACACTCACTTGTTTTGGCACCCAAAAGGTAATTTCTGTTTCTGATATTTTTTAAGCAGGTTATTATCTTGTATTTTGGATTCTGGAGTTGGATATAAATTGAGAATTGGTAAACTGCAGAATGGAAGCCTCTGTGGTGCTGGTTTTTGCCACAGGGATAAGATGAGGTTCTTTCCATGTGCAGAAACATTCTTATTAAACTAAAGCAAGAACAGCAGTGGTTTCCAAGGAAGTCTATTCTTGTATTGTTCATAGGTGGATGATGCACAAGATCTATTGCTAATAGGAGCATACTTGAATACTATGGAATAAAGTGTTTTAAAATGATGTCACCACTGAACAGCAAATACAGGTAGTCCTCGAGTTACGAATGTAATGTAGCCTGCCCATTCCATTTGTAACTCGAGGATTCATAGGAATGAATCTTGTACCTTGAATGAGATCACTTCCTGCTTTCACCCACGCATTCAGTAATTGAATGTGGGATTCATTAAGTGCATATGAAGTATCTCAGGGTGGGGAGGATCATGGGAGGGCCTGGTGATGGAACAGGCCCCCAAGGCCTCGCTGACCCACTAAGTAAGATACCTCATGCTTCCCCCTCCCTTCCTGCCGTGCCAGACTCATTTATCTTGCAAAGATCTGTCTGCTCTCTGCCGCTGTTTCTTTGCCTTTGAGGGAGAGTCGATGAAAGTTCCTGGGTGTGAAAAGTGTGATGCCTGTCTCCTGCTCCCCCCCCCCCCAACTCCTTTCCACCACCACTGGAACACTTTTTTCCTGGATGGAGACCTGCTGGAGACTGGAAGCTTCATCTGCATGCAGATGGAGCACTTGGAAACAGAGTGAATTGCTCCATTTCCAAGCGCCCCATTTGAAAGCAGACGAAGCTTCCAGTCTCTGTCAGTTCTCTGGCCAGGCAAAAAGTGTTTGAGCATCTATGGGGCACTTGGAAATGGAGCGAATCACTCTGTTTCCAAGTGCCTCATAGATGCCCAAACACTTTTCACCCAGAGGGAGACTGGTTAAACATTGGAGTGGGGAGAATGAAAGTTTCTGGAGTCCGGGATCTCACAAGACTTCAGGGACCCGTTCTCTGCAAGAGGATGGGTGCCTGAACTCGTGCGATATTACAGCACCCAGGAGCTTCCATCGACTCCTCTCCTTCAAAGGCAAAGAAACTGTGGCAGAGAGGAGGCAGATCTTTGCAATATAAGTGAGTCTGGCATAGCAGGAAGGGAGGGAGAAGCAGTTGTGGGGAGTGGGGGGAATAGGGTGAATGTTACAGAGCCTCTGCAGTCATTTGTAAGGTGCCGTGGTGCTGCAACATTCTTAATTTCGGGACTTGCTCATAAACACTAGGGGGCACTTATTGCGTAACTTTGAACAGGTACTAAGTCACGCATTGGCAACCTGTGGCTCCGGAGCCGCATGCGGCCCTTTGAGCCTTCTCCTGCAGCTCCTAGCCTCCTCTGCCATTTGCAGAGACAGAGAGAAACACTTGCGCTTGCTTTCTCTCTCTCTCTTTCCTCTACCTCTCTCTCTCTCTCTCTCTCTCTGTGTGTGTATAAAAAAGAGAGTGGCTTCACCCTGTTCTCTGACGAGCTGACAAGCTTATTGGGCGGGCTCTGCCTAGGCTGCGTCTCTGCAGGAAACAGGAAGGGCAGGAGAGAGCCAGTCTGTTGGAGAACAGCTTGAAGCCAGCTTGTCAGGTGAGCAGAAGATCGGATAGAGGGAGGGGGGGGAGAAAGAGGGAGAGGGGAGAGAGAGTGAGAGTGAGAGAGAGAGAGAGAACGAACTCATGCACAGCAGCCTCTATTTTTAATTAAACTCTTCAATCAAGCTTCTCCCCCTCGTGCGCACATGCGCATGCAAGTTTTGCAGCTCCCAGTGTTTTCTTTTCTCTGGGAAATGGGTCCAAGTGGCTTAAGGTTGTAGACCCCTGTACTAAGTGAACACTCGTAACTCAGGGATTACCTGTAGAATAATTACTTGACTCCTTTGGGATGTGTATTGCAGTAGGAAAGAATAAATGCTTGGATTAATTCAGGGAATGTTTAATGTCAACTTCAAGCCGGGGGCAGCACTCGCCTGACATTGAAAGACTAAGCACAGTCACTGATTACCCAGTCACCATGCTGCTTTCCGAATACTTAAATGTAAAACTGGAAAACCAGTGAAATTTGTTAAAAAAAAAAAAAAAGACTAAGACCAGATTAGTTGGGAAAGAAACCATCAGGAAATTCCAGGTAGAGTAGAAATTCAAAGAACTGTCTAGAATGGGGTCTCAAACTGAAATTATCACAAGAATCCTTGAGAAGTGTTAACTAGAGGCTGCAAGTGTTCTCAGAGAGGAATAAAAAAGGTCTCTAATGCAGGGATTCAACCTCAATTTCATTGAGGGGCGCATCAGAGTTGTGTTTGACCTCGGGGTGGGGGAGATCAGCTCAACATTGCTTGTGTAAGGGGGCACCTGTGGTGGTCCAGATGAGACGGGGGGGGGGATCCCAGGAGGAAGGTGAGACCAGGGCGAGCACCATATCCTTCGCCACCAGAGGAGCCTTGCTGTCCCTCTCAGGCCATGCGGAGGATCCCCAGTGATGCAGGCTGCCTGGAGCCCTGGGCAGTGGAGGGCAAGCACCCAGTCCAGCCTTTCCCAAGGGGACAGCCGGCTGCACTTACCTCCTGAAGGCTGATGCTGATTGGCTCACTCTCCTTGGCCAAGTTGCTCATGGTGTGTGCTGGAGGACAAAATGTGTGGATCAGAGGGAGGCCCACTCCCTCTCCCTGCGAGGAAACCTGGCTTTGTAACCAAAGCATCCTCATCGATAGGATGGGAGACCACCAGGAGAGATCAGGAGGAGGGGACAAGGGATGGTGAAAGGGCAGCTGGGCTGCTTGTGGCCATGTGCTAAGGCAGGACTTCCCTCAGACCCTCCCTCCCTCTCATTATAACCTTCCTTCCTTCCTTCCTTCCTTCCTTCCTTCCTTCCTTCCTTCCTTCCTTCCTTCCTTCCTTCCTTTCCTTCCTTCCTTCCTTCCTTCCTTCCTTCCTTCCTTCCTCCTTTTTCTTCTTTTTCCTTCCCTCTTCATTCTCCTTTCCTTGTTCCTGTCCCTCTTTCCTTCTTTTTCCTTCCTTGCTCTCTTGTGCTCAGCCTTAGATCCACCGGGCAGCCCTGGAACCAGTGAGGGGCTGCCCCGCCCCTTGGGTGTGCGCACAGGAGGCATCCTGGGTGAAGTCAGCCAGCAGGGACACCGGACTCTGCGTGCTCGCCACCTCCTGGACACGTGCCCAGGGCGCGGGGCAGAGATACCCGTCACTGGTTCCAGGGCTGCCTCATGGATCTAAGTCTGAGAGCGTTCTGGCTTTGATGGCTGGCACTAGGTTGTAGATCAGCGAGCGATTGGCTTGGGCTGGGCCGAGGTGTCGCAGGCCAGTCCTTCACTGTTTCCAGTGCAGCTCCGCGGGGCAGACGCAACCACATGGCAGGCTGGATTTGTCCTGTGGGCCTTGTGTTTGACATGTCTGCTCTAATGAGTGCAAGTGAGCTTTTCATAAGTTTATTAAATCAGAAATGTTATTGCAAAACAGCTATTTTTCTCACCATTTCATTTTTGCCACAGCCTGGCATATTTTTCATTAACTAGAACATGAATATCTAGTTTGGTAATTGTTGAATCACAACATATAACCCTTGTGTTTGGACATCTGAAATTTAGGATGATTTATCTGCTTAACAGAGGCAATTGCTACAATGTATCCCGGTAATTCTCTTTATAAGAAAAAAAAACATATTTGTCTTTAGTTTTGCATGTTTCACTTCCTCTTAAGTATTATATATAATTCTGCAAATGTAGCTCAATTTTAGAGTATTATTAGGCAGGCTAAAATTTATTAAATACATTCTGTAGTATGAGGAGGGATGTAAAGCAAAAGAACGCTGACACTTCCTCCTTCTCCTTGACTATACTTATTTGAAAAGGAAATTGCTGCGAAGAAAGGAAGAGAAAGCATGGAAAACTGAAGGAGTCAGAGAAAAGGAACATTGAAGAAGGAAGTTGGAAGAAACAAAGAGAAAGATAGCAAAAAGTTGAAGAAAGTACAGGAAAAGAGTACTGTAAAGAAAGAATTGGGAGCACGGGAGCTGAGCCAAGAGGAATAACTAATTGTGGGCCACAATTTGCAAAACCGGCAAAATCAGCAAAGCAATAGCAGTGGAAGCAGTTGACAAGTGCCAGCTGCCAGGGGAAGCAGAGTAGAATGTCAGCCAGATCATCAGCAGATGCAGGGACCAGCAATGGCTGCAAGAACATCATTAGCACTGAAACTAGCTCTGATAACCCTGCAGGAAGGTGTTAGAATTCAGTGGTTCTCAACCTGTGGGTCGGGACCCCATTTGGGGTCGAACGACCATTTCACGGGGGTCGCCAAACAACGCAGTCCGCCATTTTTTCCCCCTTTTCCTTAGCTGTGCTACTCCCTTTTATTCTATTGGCTTTTGAAAGCCAATAGAATAGACTCTCTTGAATAGAGTCTAATTCTATTGGCTTTCAAAAGCCAATAGGAATTGTCCAGGCTGTCTCTGCCCTGCTGAGCCCGCCAAAAGTCCCATTCTGCAAACGGTGCTGCACCAGTTGAGTAGTCCTCGACTTACGACCGGTTGAGTAGTCCTCGACTTACGACCGGTTGGGGGTCGTGGCATTAAAAAGGTTGAGAACCACTGTGTTAGATGATGGCAGAATAGAAAAGTCCAAGAAGCCGGAAAATCTGGGTGCCGGTAAGCTGTACTGAGTGACAGTTGTACTACCCAACCATTGGTAGAGGCTAAGTGCCTTTGAGCTGCAGCCTTCCCAAAAGGAAAATAGACAGCCGATGTCTTCTACCCAGCATCCTGTTGATGGACACAGCACAAGTGACTGCAGCATCGTGGGTTATGAAGGAGTGAAGGAAGTCTAAAGATTTAGAAAGAATTCAATCCAGATTTGATTCAGCCCAAAGAGGATCAGGGTTTTAAGACTGCATGTGTGTATGTAAATAAAATTAAAAGGTCTTAGAATTTGGAATAGTAAAGTGCCAGGTGATTGATTGTAGAATTGGAATGAGACTAGGATACAACAGAACAAAGAATAATTTCCAGGAATGAGATTTTTATTTGTTTGGTAAATTTGTATAGCTGTTGTCTTACATATATGACTCTGAACTGCATACAAAGTTAAAAACAAAATAACCAAAAAATCACTAAAAGCAAAATCATTAGTCAAAATTATTTATAGAGAAATCTCTTCTGAAGGGAATTGTTTGGCCTCTCGCCTGGTTCTGTCACCGTCTCCCAAAATGGACCTGTGCCATTTCTCATGGACAACAGCAAGGGTCAGCACCCCCTGCTCCTGTCATCCCTGCAGCTTCTTGCTATTGCTGGCAAGGTGACAAGCTCCAGGCTGAGCTGTGACAATATCTCCGTATATGTGTCAGCCTCTCCATCCTAGGTGCAGAGCCATCCTCTATCCAGAGGAGAAAACATAATGCCCGACTAAGACTTGCAAGCTGCTGACCTATTTTGGCTTCCACCATGCAACTGTACATCAGCATGGCATGCTTTAACCAATATGACATGGAAAGTTACAAATTTGAAAGCCCTGTCCTAACAGAAGGCAATGGCAAACCATTTCCATGTTATAGTCGGGAGTCAAACTCAAATTGGGGGCTTTACTTTAAAAAAAAAAAAAAATCTTAAGACTGGGTATGAAATGATTTGAAACCTTAAGAGCCATTGACTAAACATAACGGTCCTTGCTTTCTTTTGTTTTTAGGTGAAAATATCCGTCTAATTCAAGTTGCAATAGCATTATCCCATATTAAGCATGTGATCAATGACATGTATCCTGCTACACCTCTCATACTCTGTGGGGATTTTAATGCCACGCCATCAACTGGAACATATACTTTTGTCAATAGCGGTAGTATTACCGAAGATCATGAGAGCTGGGATTCAGAAGTTAAAGAGCAACGGTTTGCTATGTCTCTAGCCCACCAGTTCAGTCTTAAAAGTGCTTGTGGAGAACCAGCCTACACTAATTACGTTGGAGGCTTTCATGGATGTTTGGACTATGTTTTCATTGATGCAAATGTTTTGGAGGTTGAACAGGTAATTCCACTGCCAAGCCACGAAGAAGTAACTACCCACCAGGCCTTACCAAGTGTTTCACACCCATCAGATCATATAGCACTAATATGTGATATAAAGTGGAAATAATTATTTTCTGAAATGTCTGCTACTTGTGAAAAGTTCAGTTGAAATGCTTCTTTGATCACAATTATATCTCATTTTTAATTCTTTGTAAGTGGTCATACTTTTTATAACAGCGTTCTTATGTACTAGTGCTGTATTATTCTTCTGTTAATGAACAGAATCAATACATTTTGAAACTATCATTGTCCTACTTCATTTTTAGATGACTTTTAAAATAAGGAGTAAGACTGGTTTGTTTAAACTAATATTTATCTATCAGTCACTACTGACATGTTGAGGGAATATCCACTCTTGTCTTTATAAGACTGTATTAAAGATTCAAAAAATATTCTGGCAATTCCCACTATTGGGAAAGATCTTATTCAAAGAAACCAAAATAATTTGGGTTTAAATAATAGTGGTAATATTGTGGTATGCTTGGGCAGAGACTGACTTTGTTAGGGAGTGGTGATTTTGGTTAATTGTAATCCACCTTTAGGGGAGCTTAAGGACTATTGCTTCCTTCTGTGTTGGAAAGCTTTTTAAAAAAGAATTTTCATGGTTTGAGCAACGTCTAAGCAACAAAGACTGGGTGGAAGACAACTGCCTCCTCTCCCACTTCTGTATTTCATTTTAAGCAAAGGGAAGTAATAAAAGAGATGCTGTAGCTGCAGCAGCCTCATCTTTGAGAAGCCTCTCTAGTGTCTTGTGTCTGATGGAGGCTAGAAAAAGTAATTAAGCTCCAGTTAACTCTCTTCCAGACCAGTTCACAAGACCTAGTTAAGAAGATACTCAACTGTTAATCCTGTGTACAAGGGTAAACTGTCTCCTTTATTATCTAAAGATGTGATCAAGATACTGGTATTGCTAGTAACCTGGTTAAACATGTTTTGCATCCTGAACCATTAAATCCTGAATCTTTGTTAGCTGCCCAAAGTTACGAATTTGAGATAGGTGGCCATATAAAACAAATAAATACATAAACTAGCTAAAATGATTATTTAACTGTTTGATATGTGTCCCTGATCATATGAGTGCTAGGTCTACTTCTCGCAACTTATGTTAACTGTGACTAATAATGGGGCACCCCATTTCATTGCCCTAATTTGTGTAAGATAGACTATGTTATCGCGAGCTGCATTATGGCAAAAGGTCATGCAACCATAGTTACGGCTTTTTTTATATCAGTTTGCATAGATCGTTAAACTAGATAAATTTAATGAATATCTGATTAACCATGTTTTAGTATCCCATATGAATACAGTGTAGCTCATTTTTGTTTGTCAGACCTGTTAATTTATGTAGTTTCTAGATCCTTTATTTGCCTAACCAGATTACTACAGTATATTCATTTTGTCGTGTTATATACTACTAAAGCTCTGATTCCTATAACATTTAACTGGGCAAAACAATGCAACAAAGTGCTAAATATTTTGAATCAAGGTAGCTCAAATGGGCTAATTTACAGAATGCGTCCAAAAACTGGGACCCATGACTCTTGCGAAATTGTAATTCGGCAAATTCTATAAATGTTTTATGATATAAACATCATAAAACAAATTTATGACATAATACAAACGTCAAAACCTATTTCCTAGTCTGATGTTGGCTCTGCTATAGAGTTCAACATGGAGTATTTTCAAGGATGATACATTTCTGCATGTATCTCAGCTTTTCGAGTTAAGGCAGTACATCCAAAGCTCTGCCGTTATCAACTGCATCTTTAAAATGGTTGAATCCAAGAATCCTTTGGAAAATCATGAGATGCAGCTTGGAAGCATATAGCAATTTAAAAAAAAAAACACTATCCTGAACCCCCTACATTTTGTGCTTAGAAGATAAAACAATTTAACATAATGATATAATAAGCTGCAATAATCAACATTGATCATTTTGAGTGGCAAGAAGTAGTATTTCAGCCATAAGCCATGATATAAATGCAAATTTATCCCTTCAGAACAGCATCTTTTAAAAAAAATTAAATCTCTTTTGTTTCTTGTAAGGATATTCAAGCATACTGATATTCTCAGATATACAAACTGGAAAGAATGCAGTATGAGCTATTTGTTTTTTAAAAAATTATTTTGGGGTTTGAGCACCAGATTTAGTTTTTCCTCATTTGAATAGTGTAGCAATAATCAGTGTTCCTGCTTGATTAAGATTGGAATGAGAACATGAGCCAAAGAAATAATGCTGATCTGTGCAAGCCCTATTAAATAATACGTCTTATTTTTTTGAACCAATAATTTTCTGAGTAGATAGAGGAATGTTGTAAAAGTAAAGTATTTGCCAAAATATCTTACAACCTTTGGGTAGATAGAATGATTATTAAATGTATACATACATGTCTGGACATTTATAATCAAAAGTAAAAAAAACTGGAAAAGGCATCAAATGGATTGCCAAACATGCAGTCAGGAGACCAATGTTCCTTAACATTTTTATTAATGACTAGGATGAAGAGGTAGATGGAAATATGGATTCTGTCGACACTACATACCGCTATTACATCTCAACATTTTTGCGAAGTACTGATGGCAGTTCCCCAATTGTGCTAATTTCTTAAATACCATATTTTGTCAAAAGTATAACAAGCCTGAGAAGATATAGCTTAATATGAAGTATGCAGCTAATGTATTATTATGTCAATTTAGCAGTTTTGAGAATTATTTGAATGATATAAAGTAATTCAATAAATTAAAATTTCAGTTTTAAATGCATCATTTTTGTGGTGCCAGTTATAACTGAGATTAAAAGAAATTTAAAAATTCAGATTTTTGAGCAGAGATATACAAAGGTTTCCAAATTAAGCGCTATCTAAGCATCAGATAATTGACCACGTGGAAGGAACTCGCAGGACAATTACTAGCAAACCAAAGTGTTCTGTCAATCATTAATGAAACAGACTCTTTGGGCAGTTTGAACTTTATTACCATTCTGAACTCTAAGTACTCTCATATCTGGACATCTTAAAAGGATTTAGATTTACAGCTTCAAAACACTTTTACAGGATTTACCTTTGATAATTAATCAGTTATGTTGTACACAACTTTAACTGCCCATCTTAATTTTTTTGCCAAATTGAAAACAATTCAAAATCTATTCAGATCTGTTTGTGTTCAAGGTACAGAAAAAACTCCGTTTATTGAAAAAGAATCTGTCACACATTCATATTATCAGTTCCACAAACGTAAAATTCAAGGAGCATACACAAAGCTATACATTTGTATCATTTTAATTAGGAATAATTCTGAATAGGTTATAAAGAAATTAATCCATCAAGTCTGAAGAATTTTCAAAATCTCTTCATGAAGATATGTTCACCAATAAACAGTAAAACTTTAGCAGAACTATTATACACTGGGCAAAACAGGCTGATACTGAAAGCAACATGCAAAAAGAAAAAAAAGAGACAATCTGCTGAATATTTAAAAACTCCAATGAGCTTGTTGCAACCAGCATAGTAAGTATTAGGCTGAGTTCACACAAAGGCAAAAGTGGGTCAATTGGGAGGGAAGTTAATAAAATGTTCCTCAGTGCAGAAGATTTGAATAGTGTTTTAGAGAATTCTTGGCAACATCAGGAAGTGTTTTTATAAGGGAGAGAAATAAATATAAATGGAATGGTAGATTAAGTCAGCAGACTGTCTTATGGAATGAAACAAGGTATTGGTAACTTAAGAGATAAGAGGGGGTCTTAAATATACTTAAATTGAATTGGGGCTCAATAAGCATTCAATAGATTTCAAAGTCACAACTATAGTCAGGCATTTAGGCTAACAAGAAAAGGAAAAATCAGAAGATACACTTTTTCCAAATTAAGGAGTTTCTCTTTTTAATCCAAGCCTATTGTTACCTTGGCAACATATAGCTTGGAGAACAATAATTGGCAACAAAATAAGTAAAAATGCTGTAATATCCTGCCCAAATCAGTTCCAGATACTGTATATTAACCAAGATGCAGCTAATTTTGATGTAACAAGCCTAGACCACTTATATCAAACGTGTCCTTGGTGCGAAAGTCATCCAGTTGCAGTTAACGCTTTGATAGCTCGTTTGACAGCCAATCAAGTCCCTCGTATAAACCAGTACCTTGTGTAGCACAGGTAGCCTGAACATACCACTGTAGAACAGAAAGAAGTGATATTTTAATATTCGGTACTGTTCTTGAGAATACATTTCAGTTCTGAAATAAAGGGCAAATTCCCATGTCTCTCACTATAGTAAGCAATAATAAACCAGAACACAGGCAGGAATGTCAAAAAACATCCTGGAAGAAGGCAAATGCAATCAGCCTCTGTACTGCTATCATCTCCAGCAATTACTAATTTCTAAAGAAATATTTTATGTAGAATTATAGTCAAAGATAGCATGAGTTTTAACTTGAATGAATCAAATGACTTACTTCATTTTCATAGTACTCTTCTTTCCACAGTAGGCCAAAATGATTATAGATGAATATAAACATAGCCCTTGTTAAAATTATTATACTGTGCTTCCCCAAAAGACTTACCCTGAAAATAAGCCCTAGTTTTGAGGCGAGGCGCATGCTTAAAAATCAAGCTGGGGGGGAAGGGGGTGGAGCATACCATTGCAGCCAGGCCTCCCACGGATCAACACTTGCCTTGCCGGCCCACTTCTTCTGCAGCCGAAGGAGCAGCTTCATTCTGCAGCTGAGAATGATGCTCAGGCCTGCACTTCGCAGTCACAGGCCTTTCTGGAAGGCCTGGGCAGCCGATAACCGAGCTACAGATTCAATCCATAGCTCGGGTCTCAGCTGCACAGGCCTTCCGGAAAGGCTTCTGACAGTGAAATGCAGCCTGAGCTCCATTCTCAGCTGCAGAATAAAGCTGCTCCTTCGGCTGCAGAAGTGGGCTGGCTGGGCGGGGCTGTCGGTGGCACTGCCGCAAGGTAAGTGGAAAAGATCCCCCCTTCCAAAATAAGACCTGGTGCCTCTTTTGGAGGGAAAAAAAAAAAGACCGGGTCTTATTTTCATGGAAACATGGAAATATCAACAAAAACAGTCCTAAAACAAACACCAATTCAAATACTGCTAAATGTAATTACAATTATGCTATCAGAATTATCTTAATTATGATCGTATCAATGATTTATTTCTTAACATAAAAAATACAATCTTTCTCTAAAAATAGAATTATAATTCAGCTCAGCAGTTTATTGTTATATTTCACTCGTTAAAGTATCAACTCCTCTTAGAACAGCTAGTGCTGATAGCTGAAACTGAAATTCAGAAACCTCTGATGGGCTGCAACCAAAGGTCTGAATCTGAGTGGATAGACATATACGCATTAGCAGGAAAATGGGTTGACTAAAACACTATGCCAATCTCCCTTTGCAGTATTAAGTGCCACTTACAGACATTTGGGTATTGTTTTCTGAAGAAAATAGGAAAACACTGCCCCACTCAATAACCCAAAAACTTATACCAAATGCCAGGTTTTTATTCAGAAGTTTCACTGAATGTACAAAATTTCAGTACTTACAGTTCTATTACGCAGGGACTGAAGGCCTAGTTTATCTGTCATTTCACTGATTGCCATGGCATTTGGCAAGTCTTGTTTGTTTGCAAAGATAAGGAGCACCGCATCTCTCAACTCGTCTTCTTGAAGCTGAAAGGGGAAAAAAAACATTATAACTTCCCTCTTTTAAGTTTCTTACAAACAAACCTGCAAAGGAAGAAGACAACAGCAGAGGCTGTATTTTTCCTTTATTTCGCCAAATGGTGTTCAGTCACAAATATCACCAAATTACCGCATTGTCCAAGAAAAAATTGATGAAAAGTAACAAAATACAACAACCAGCTTGAAAAAATAGCAGTTGCAGGTATAAGTAGTATAACTAGATAAATGTTGAAATATTGATGTAGAATGACTGCGGAACTAATTTTCCATATGTATAAAGGCTTCATCTCTATCTCAAATTTGGGAGAATCTATTATTGTTTCTCTTTGCAAAAGGAAAAGGGAGCAAGCATGAATGCAAAAACTACAGGGAGAATTAGTTGGTTAAGTGTCCCTGGGAAGATGCTTGGCAGAATTCTGACTGAAATGGTGCCAAAGGTGACAGTGAGCCAAATGCAGACATGCAGACTAGTTTTCTACATTAGGAAATGCATTCACTGAAAAAGGTACTCAGGTGAGAATGAAAGTTTATTGGACATTCATAGAGAGCATGTTATGTGAATGTCTGATTGGGAAGTTAAGTTATTGAATGTTGTAAGACCTATATATCATAGAAATAAAGTATGAGTATTAAATGAACCATATTTCAAATGCTCAACCCTGAAGCTCTCTTGACTGTTTTAGGCATTTATGGATACATTTCTAAAGAGTAATGATAGAGCTGTTAGATGCATGGCATGTAGGAATATGAATGAGCATGTACTTTTGTATTCAGATGCCATGTTGCTGGCTGAAAAATCTAAATGATTTGCAGAAAGTATTAGATAAGTAATATATAACAAAGAGAATGAATCTGAAAACTAATATTGCTATTTTTAATGTTGTACGCCTCCTAGAATTTTTAGGAAGTCAAGCAGCTTTACATTTGATGAATAAATGCAACATCAAAAAACAACAGAAAGCGGTATGAATAAATCCAAGTTATACATAAATGGTGACAAGTAGGAGCAACTAAATGAGTTTGGGTACCTTGGTAGAATGTCTACTAAAAATGGAAAAATGGATGAAGAAATCTCAAGATGTACAAATGCTGGTAGAAACATAATGGGGCTATATGTGCACTACTGCACAAAATGTTTCTCTAAAAGTGAAAACTGCTTTATATAAATGCATGTTTGCATCTATTTTTTACACCAGGAGAAGCATAAAAGTAGGCCGAATGCTGTGGGACTGGATCACTTAAGAAATGTGTGCAATAAAACAAGAGAAAAAGAGTCAAGAATGAATCACCGCTGAATGATTGTGACTGAATATAATAAAATATAGCCAATAGTAAAAAAAATAGTAGTTTGGTCCTTATTGTGAATGATTACAACTAAATGTCAAAATAAATGAACTATGGATGGAGGAATGAACTGAATATGAGGAGCAAGAACATGGCCATCCAACCTGGCTGGATGCAATTGACAAAAGGAATGCAAGATGTTTACATTCTGATTAAAAGTTACCATTTTCTGCAGTTCTTCTGCTGCTTCTTGAATTCTCTCTCTGTCATTGCTATCTACCACAAAAATGAGACCCTGGGGGGAAAAATATTAATATAGTGAGACGATAATAAATAAAAAGACACAAGTCAATTCTGTCTTGATTTCATATATCTTTACCACCAAAACAGTTTCAAATATGAAACCATGCAAAGTATCAAGCTTTTTTCTTAACATGCCATCTGTTCCTAGGTGCCAATACCTCAAAAGAGCCAGGAAAGCAAATGAAGTATATCCAAACTTTAGCAATATATTATAGCTTTCAATGAAAAACCATCTCTTCAGCTACAAATGAATTAACAGTATTTGCAAAATGATGCAACTTGCTCTAGCCGACTATAAAGAATGCATCTCCAGACTACTATTTCTATCAAACAATCCTACTAAATGATACCATAAGGTTTCTTTTTTAGTTTAAGCTTTCAAACGGTTACATTTTTGGACTAATTAGTTTCCATTCCTGCACTGAGCGCTGGACCAAATGGCCCTTGCTGTCTTTTGTGAAGTTTCACTTATGCTTTCAGCCATTTTTGCTCCAAATATAGTTTTGCCCATCATGACTGAAGTTCTTCATTAAGGTATATAGCAAAACAATTCTATTCTGAGGGGATAGTAGCATAGAGGACTATATCTAATAGTCTGCCCTCTGATGGAAAAGAATGGAAACAATGTCCAATGCCTCAGCTCACAAGACTGGAAGAGGAGCACAGCTCACGAGAACAACTATGTAAGTGACATGAGACAGCTACTATATCCTGCAGTTTCCCTTCCCAATCATTTGAGAAATGCTGGGAACCAAATATCTATACGTCCACATTGTTGTAGTTAATTCTTCAGCCTTGCAGAATCATAAGCCCAAGGAACCTATGTTTGCGATGAGGACATCACAGATAAAATCCTTAAACCTTGACCTATCTTGCTGGCATCTGGAGAAACATCATAATCTTCAAGACACTTTTTGTACTGGTTTTAACTATAGGATCCCGTCCCGAACAATAAACAAGTACAGGTAAATGAAATAATAAAAACAAACATAAAATAATTCAGTTAATTAAATGCGTTAACTTACATCAGTGTTTCCCAAACTTGACAATTTTAAGGCATGTGGACTTCAACTCCCAGAATTCCACAGCCAGCAACGCTGGCAGTGGAATTCTGGGAGTTGAAGTCCTCATGCCTTAAAATTGTCAAGTTTGGGAAACACTGACTTACATAG